GTCTGTGCATGTTTGGTTGTGGCTGGGTGGGTGAGAGCGAGGGAAGAGGCGACGTTTGCTCGACAAGTCACGTCGTTCACATGCTGAGCTCTCCGGCTCGGACGAGTGAACTCACCGCATCTTGACCCGCTTGTGCAATCACCTCTCGCTCGGCCTCTTCATGCTGCAACGGTGCTCCGGGCAAGGTCGTTTTCGAGACCCGCTCGCCTCGGGTTCGAGTCCCTCCGCTTGTGATTGGTCCACGCGTGAACGGGTCCCGCTGGTCGCTCTCAGACCATGAGCACAACCTGTTGCCATGCGATGCTATGGAGCTGGGAAACAGACTCGAACCACTACGACGTTGAACTGGAATCCTCGACCTCGGGTTGCCTTGACAGATGGCATATTTCTCGTTTATAAGCGGGTTGTCAAGGCAACTGGACGGTGTCCAGCCGATTTCGTTTAAAGTCACAGTTAGACCTTACGTTTCCATTGCATTCGACAAAGCCTTGCTTCACAAAAGATTTTCTCATTCCCGCTCAACTGGACCCCTTCGACAGGACTCGAGCTCGAGCTTCAGTAATGCAGGGCCGATTTGAACTCCAAGAAAGGCCAGACATTTCGCCATATCACACTCTGAGCTGCTATCCTATTGTATTTGCAATAGTCATCGAACAGACTACTCATTTTCGTTTATAAGTAGGCTTTCGAGTAATGTTACCTATTGCTATGGCAAATACAACTTTGCTCCATCTACAATCATACCACAGAATGTGAATTGTGAATTCTCATCTGCCCTGTGACCAAAGTACACTCGTGTGGATATTATATGCTGACGGGACTGGATGAGGCGAGGTCGAAAGTGCAGTCCACTCTAGTGGAGATGAGATTGTAAGACTGTGTGAAATTGAAGGAAGACGCAAGTGCTTCATTACGTTGCATGAAATGTGGTAAAGTGTGGAGAACCGTTCGTTTGGGAAAAGTCAACAATCAGTCCTACTCCACTTGTATCCGACCTCGGCCCACCGGCTCATTAGCAACCATAAAAATGGGGATTTAAATGAAAAATGACCAGTTATATTGTCTTTTAAGAAGAGTATTAACTTCATGGCAAACGAAGCCGTGCCCAATTCCATTCATTTTATGCAAAACCTTGTGCCCAAATGCGACTGTTGCTGCAGCCTTCAGCCGGTTTGAGAAGTCGAGCTAAAGAAATTGGGGGATTGGAATGAGTGAATTGCCTCGAATTTGATCGAACACCTGATCATCTCACCTCCATACGACCCCGATTCGTTGCTGTTGAGCCATCAGTTGTTTCGACGTGAATAACATCGTCACAACCAGAATCTATCATCAAACAAAAGTCGTTAAGACACATCTACTTCCTGCATCAACTTGGTCCATTGGTTGGCGTGTTGAGACAAGAATGAGGTGGCCAACCGAAAATCAGTATCTTTATAGGAAGTTGGTATCAAGACTACCAATTAACCTCGAATAAGTGCTCGAGTCTGTCCAGATTATTTGAAATGATGAAGGACGGATTGTGAATTTCGGCAAATCAAATGACTCGACCTCAGAATGTAATTGAATTCTGCTTAGCCTGATTGCAGTTTTGCTCTCGCATTGGTCTCATCAGCAACCCCAACAGGAATTAAAGCAGACATATAACCCCTATAATCGCATAAAGGGATTTAAGGACTGATAATTGAATTTTTTAACAATTAACTTGGGATGATTAAATTATTATTCACAAATTTTCGATTGTCTCACATACTACTCACACCGCCTCGTTAGCACCCCCAACCGGACTCGCATCGTATAATTTCAGCATGTTACCCCTACACCACATTGTCAGGCGGACAACAACTTTGAGAATGTTGATGCCTGAATAAAATCACATTTATAGTGGGATTTAGTAAGCGACAAACCTGGATTTTGTCATTATCATTGACTACACTACTTATATTCATTAAAAGTATGCTTCCTGTCTATCAGTAGATGATAAGTCGCCTGTTTACAATCGAAAAATCATGTTGCTATTGTAGTCGGGCGCCATTTTGGGCTCAGATTATAATGCATTTTGTGCTCTTTACGCCTTGAAGATGTGTTTGATGACAGACAGATGAAAAAGAGTCATATAAAGATGTGCCAGGACTTCTTGGCTCAAATCCAGTTCTAAATCCTTTAACCTCGGTTTCTGGCGAGACTAATCTACGAATTACGTCGTCGAATGAAAAAGTATTAAAGTACTCTTCGAAACTAATTTCCCCCTCATAACTACCATTAAATCAGTTATATAAGCTGTAGTCACCCTATTTCGTTTAAGGTGATGAAGTATTGGTAGTAGACTTTTCCCACAATCATATGAATTGAGCAACACTTGATCAGTGCAGAAAAAATCAGGAAGGAGAGGCAGGGCCAGGTGAAGCTCAGTGATTTCATGAGGTCGACTCAAATAAATGCAAGAAATTAGGTGGAATTTCCTTACATCGCTTTAAGTCATAAAAGAGGACTAAAGCTAATAGACGTAATCTACTGCGAGTATCGAAACCGAAAATAAGCTAAAATTAGTAAATGTATAAAGTGCAGATATAAATACAGATTTTCCTTTTACAAGTAGGCTTTCGAGACAACCAGCACATCTTGCGTATAAGACTGTATGTATCCTATCTCAGTTAAGATGAAGAAGGACAGCTTGTTGCATTTTCCCACAATTTGTTGAGTGGGTTTCATGTTTCCATTACACTTCACAATCGGCCTTGCTTCCAAAAAGGTCTTCTGCCTCAAGCAGGCGTGAACTGGCATTTCCACCAGTACCCCCAGCGGGACTCGAACCTGGGTTATGGTACAGCACCATACAATCTCGACGAGTAAGCCAATACGCCAGACTGCGCTTGGATCACACATCAAATGTGAATTTCAATGAAGTCCAAGCCTTTTCATATACCCCATTGCTTTGGTTGGATTGTCGATGAAACAAATTTGCTATGGCAATCGCCTAAACTACTTACTCTCGTTTTGTAAGTAGATCGACCCTTTCTTTATTCCATTTCCTTTTAGCCCAAGTTCGAGTCCCTCTGGGTCGCTGATGCGACCAGTTCAGGCGAGGTTGAAACGGTAGTCCACACCTGCTTGAATTTGGATTCCTTTTAGGAAGCAAGGCCAAGTGTGAAATTCATTGAAAACATTAGGCCTAATTATCTGATTGTGGGAAAATTCAACTACCAGTCCTTAATCACATCAAACGAAATAGGATGAACTTGCCATCATATGCAGGATCTATTGTTAGTCTCGAAAGTCTAACATGCTTTATTGCCATTTGGAATAAAATACTTTCCATTGAATTTCACATATTTTTTGGAATTAAGTATTGTTTTCGTGACTACCAGTAAATCAGTAATATGAGATGTATTCACCAAATTTCGTTTAA